TGTAAATACAACTTAACCACTGATTTCTAGTCGTGTCCATTTTTGGAAGGCCAAACAAAGTAGTTTCGCTTTCACAACGAAACACACAGCGCCTTCACGACATGGCGGTGGCGGCAACAAAAATACTACAGCGAGAATAAAAGTTAGGCCTTCTTTCTTTGCGTGAACATTTCGGCGGCGTTATGCAAATCTTCCCACATCGTGACGTAGACATGTGGGGGCGTGTTAGAACGAGCCGTTTTAGGTAGGCGTGGTTGACTCTTAACTTTTGTAAAGAATATCTCTTTGGATTTGAGACTTTAGTCTTTGCAACTTTACAGATCTTCTTTATGCACCAAGAGCTTGTAACACTCTAAAGAGAAAGGAAAAATGTAAATTGCATCATATGACCCCTTTAAATTCAATGCATTTTACTGATTCTTTGCATAATTAGGTTATTTTGTATTTTTATATTTCTTTATGAAATTAGAGTCAAATCACTTTCATTTCTTTCTTTTCCATGCACAGAATGGCTATTTTTAAAATATGAAACAATACATTTGGTGAAATTTATTTTTAAAACAAGTGGAAAAAGTCTGACAAAATGCATGTATATTCAATACTGTAAACGCATCTTAATATGCTTTAATTTTTCTACGTTTTAATTTGCTTTTCAGGTCAATTTAATTTTAAATATGCAATAAAAATAACCTCTATTTGAATTCTTAATGCACATTCCTGGCTTGTTTGTTTGTCTTTGTACTTAATAAATAAACAAGCTTTAAAAAAGATAGTAAAAACACGCATAACAATTGTTGAAATAAAATTTGTATTTATTTTACATTATATTTACTAAAATAGAAATACATTCTTTGAAAATGTACAATGGGATGTCCACTTATTTTCAGATATGCATTATATTTTTCAAGACAAAAACACTGATTTAGAAAAGGATATTCTCATTTTCTGTGTCTCACAGGTCCCTTTATTACATTAGTTTATAGCTCTAAGCAAATATTTACATGCAAATGATTCAAAGGAAGCTGTAAGCTGTATACAGAGTATAACTCCCCGAAACTCATAGGGACTTTTCTCTCAAAAATCTGCACATGCCAAAACAGTGGTGGAACTGAAAGTGGATCCGCACTGAGTTTGACAGGGTTCAGCTGGCACATACACAGGCCTTTTCCTCTCTCTGATAAGAGCGTTTGTGCTTCCTTTTCCACAGACATGAGAACTTTCATGTATCAAAACACAGCATGTGGAGGAAAAACAAAATGACCGGGCACAGAGCACATGTGCTGTTTGGTTATGTGAGATAAATAGCTTGTTGAGTATATGTCTATGAAAATATATCATAAGAGTAAATGGAGAGTGAAAAATGAATATACACTATACTGTAATTCACTCCCACTCCAACAACAGAGCAACTACATCTGCCCAGCACATCGAACAACTGGATATATGAAACCTATAATCAGTGACTTCATTAATAATAAATATTCTGCTGCTTAGCCCAAGAGCAAAACAGCCACAAACACAAGAGCCTGCTCATCCACATCTGGCCTGAGATAAATGACACCTTAACCACAGAGTATGAAGACAGCACGGCACTCCGCCAGACTGCACTGTGTGTGTGTGTGTGTATGTGTGAGACGATCTGACAGCGGTCCCGTGGGAACAAAAGCACTTTTAGCAGGTTTTTTTTTCCACCGGAGACCCCCTGGCCCACCACAAAATCAATTTGGCTTCATCGGCCAAAGAGCACAGACACACACGCACACACACATATGCACACTAATCCACCGTCCAACATACGATCTCCTCACACACTCTCTCGCTGTCTTTCTCACATACACAGACTTCCACTTTCCTCCGTCTCTCGCGTTCTTCATGTTCTCTAGTTCGACCCTCTCGCTCTCTCTCTCTCTTGTGGCTGAGGGTTGGGTATGAGGTTACAGTTGGGGGAGATATTTCCCATTTGGAATAAGTCAACATCTCTGTATAATGAGATTAGGGCTGGATCTCCACACTGGGGTCATGCTGGGCCGGGCCGGGCCATGTGGGGGACACATGGCTCCGATCTCCCAGAACAGGTCACCTGATAGCAACGGTTACCATTATCCCAGCCGGATAAGTGCGGATGCCATAGTAATTACAACAAAAAAATAAATTTAAAAAAGCTAAATCTTGCACGGAAAAAAAAATGTGTTGTTATATAGTAAAATAACAAAAAATCTAAAGAGAAGCAAAATTATGTAAATTATTTAGACTTGTTTTCAGAGAATACGTTTTTTTTTTAATTATTATTATTATTATTATTTTTATTTTTATTACCAAACAGTGAAATATTTTTTTCTTTTCTTCTTTGTCAAATTTAGCTAAATTAAAAAAAATTATAATAATTTTTTTAATAAATTATTTTAGGAAAAGGGGGAAAAAACTAAGAAAAATATATAAAGGTCTTACTATATTACACAATACAGTATACATAAAATGATATACATAATATACTATATATAATATATATATATATATATATATATATATTTACAGTTAAATGTCATTTAATAAGAACTCACATATTGCTTTTCATGTAAAAGTATCAAGTTTTAGACTATAATTATTTTATGATATATAATTAATTATTTGTATATGTATTAAAATAATATAATTAATAATTATTGTTTAATAATTAATTATTTTATAATAATAATCTTAATTTTAATTTCAGTTTTTTTTGTGGAGTGAATGTTGGAACACTCTAGATGTTGGCAGCTTTCTTTTCATTGCTTTAGGACCGCAAGCACTCTCCGGAAATGTAACGCCCCTTACCATAATCGCGAGCTTCATCTTTCAAAATAAATGTAAAGACAGAGCCCGAAAGGGGAACAGAGTCGCGTGACATACACAGTGATGAAACTGGTATGTGTTTGTGATGTGACCCCCTCTCTCTCTCTCTCTTTCTCTCTCTTTCTCTCTCTTTCTCTCTCTTATATATATATATATATATTTGCATTCTTACAGATAATTAAATTAGCCAGCATTCGAACAATGTTTAATTCTTCCTATAAGATTGTTTTAGTGACTCTTGAAAGCTTAAAACAAATGGTTTCACGTGTCAGAGCACAAGGGGAAAAAAAAAAAAAGGAATTTATAATTCAATTACAATCAGGGCCGAGAGCGAAGCAGAGAGGGGGGATGTGCCTGGAGTCCAGCCAGAGGACAGATAAGACTGCACATTAAAGTAATATTATGATCCCCCTGCCCGTTACCATAGCAACAAAACGAAAGGATTAAAAAATACACATGGAGATCAATCTCCAGCGGGACGGAGAGAAGGAGAGAGAGTTAAGTGCTCTTTGAATGCTCTTTCCACCGTCAGAATCATCACTCATGCTTTGACATACAGACACTCTCTCTCACTCTCTTTCTGTCTTTTATCTAGTATTGTTTTCAGTCTCCTCCTTTCTCCAAATGTCTGCACTCCCCTTTTTCTCAGAGCAAAATAATTAACTCCCTCCTGAGTCCAATTCCAAATCCACAAATACCGGATTATTACACGGTATAATTAGTGGATTTTAATCTAATTATCAAATCTGTCTCCCTGATCCTCTTGCCACCGCTATGAAGCTCAACTAAAACGTGTGAGCAGCCACATACTTAAATGGGATCTATGGTAACTGTAAAAATCCAGGCAGATGGATGTAACGGTCCTGTTCACACAAAAACACATATTCTGTCATCATTTACCCATCCTTATGTGGTTCCAAACCTGTAGGATTTTCATATATGGAAGAAAAAAGTACTAGATGTTATTTCCATACATGAGGACGGGCTTCAACAATGATGATAAAAAAAAAAATCATTGACGTGTCATATTTGAATTTTCATAAATGCAAAATAGCCTTTTGGGTGATTTTTAGCAAATAACATTTTAAATTTGAGACTTTTCAAAACACAAAGCAATGTTTGCACTCGACTTCATGCATCTTGATTGAACACATTGGTTTTGCACACTGTAAATAATAATGATTATTTTAATTTTAAAGGACTGTAAAAATGGTCATTGGTAAATTATATAATTGATGAAAAATTCCCAGAATTCCCGGTGTGACAAGTCACATTGAATGTTTTTTCTTTGTTATCACTTATGGGCATGTATGGTTTTATGTTATATTTTAATATATTTTCATATTTAAATCTAAGTTCAGTACATAAAACTTAAAACGCTCTGGCAACCACAGCTACCTTTTTTTTTTTACATAAATTTAACAGATTTTTATTTTTTTATTATTAATTATTTATTTATTTGTAGTTTACAAGTAAAAAAAAAAAAAAAAAAAAAAAAAAGCAACCAGAACATTCTGTAAATATATCATTTTGTGCCACAGGAAAGAAATAAAGGTATTGGAATGGCATAAATGTAAGTGAATAATGACAGAATATTCAAAACGGTGCATTATTTTCAACGTTTTGATTTTTTTAGCAGTCAAATCCACTAACAGCTTGTGTGTGGTTTAAGTTTAGTACATTCTTGTAGCTACTAGAGAACTATAAATCAGTTTGTCATCGGCCCATATTGATGAAATGTATTTTCATATTTCTCCAGCAGTCTGTTTCTTTCTCTTTCTCTCGTTCTCTCTGTCTCTGAGAGCTCTGACTGGCTGCTTTGTTTCTGATGAGATCACCACCATGCTGAACTAGTGCTAACAAGCAGCAGAGGCACAAGTCTATGTTCAGGGCATCGAGATATACATCGGACAAGCTGGCATACATCGCAGTAAAAAAGAGAAAGACGTCAGTGTGTGTCTATGTGTGTGCGTGCATATGCATTTGAGCGACAGAAAGAAAGAGAGGGAAAAATATTTTTGTGCTTATCCATGCATGTGTTGTGTATCTTATCTGGGTGATTAGTTCTGTAACAATAACAGAAGATAAAAATGAACTCAAATCAAATCTTACAGGGTAGGCAAGAAGGAAAATATGCAAGTGTGTGTTTGTGTGTGTGACTGACTCACCAGCTTTGCCTCTGAGTGCATGGATGGAACATGAGGGGAGGAGCATGAGCTGCTGTGGGTGGGGCCTTGCATGCCCATCATGTTAGAGCCCATAGACATTTGCCTCTCCATCTGTATACACAAATGTGAATATATTACTTCAGAATCACATCAATGCTTGAAACAACTTGAATAAAAAAATCAACGAGCAAGCTACAGCGTAAATGTGAATGCACATTCCAAACATTTGGCGACAATATTACTGAAAAATGTTACTAGAATTAGTTCAATCTTACCTCTCTGGCTAGTTAAATGATACAATTTTGTCTTGAGGCAAAAATATAACCATTTCATATTTAATGTTTTCATGTTTTTATTCTAAAAACATTAAACATACTATTTAATATTTATGTATAATATGAATAGTAATTTATTAAAATATTAATAATAATAATATAATTTTTTTTAAAGGTTTAGGGTATTAGCTTTACTTTAGAGACGAATTTGCTGGAAATGTTATGAAGTTAATTAAGTTAATTAAAAGTGTGTGTGTGTGTGTGTGTGTGTGTGTGTGTGTGTGTGTGTTGTGTATCTACGCATATTCCGCAACACTGTGGGAAAAGCAGCAGTCAAAGACAAGCTAAGAGAGGAAGCTGAATACTGCAGAAGTGTGAAGCTTAAAATAGGACTATTAACAAAACCACAAACTCAACCAAAGCTCAGTTCTGTGAGAAAGACAGAATCTCTTAATGCAGAAATTCTCAATTAAATGTGACCGAAAGGCTGAAACTGAGGTCTTAGATGTTTGTGCTCATACAAAGAGTGTTCTGGTGATTTACGTTCAGTTTAAGGTGAGAGAAACTGTAAAATGGTACTTTCAATACGTGTGTGTGTGTGTGTGTGTGAGAGAGAGGGAGAGAGAGAGAGAGAGAGAGAGAGAGAGAGAGAGAGAGAGAGAGAGAGAGAGAGAGAGACTGGGGTTCCTATTACTAAAACCCAAGACCTCCAAGATCTCCCTCCGACCCCCCTTTCCAACCCCCTGATGACCCTTTCGCAGGGTGAAAGCGCAGCAGTCCGCTGTCATTATTGGAGGAATATTTGGTTTGAAAATATCACCCCACCTGGCGCCCCTTTCCTGGGATGTCAATCGAGATTGAAAAAAATAATTTAATCAACTGCTTTTACCTCAATAGCCAACATGGACTGGCTTATGTTACAATGAGAACATGTGTCATGTCATTAGAACCATGATATGGGCAGCTCGCTCAAACACACACACACACACACACACACTTTCCTCAGCCTGATTTCAGGTTCCTATTGACAACACACACACACACACACACACACACACACATGCACATACGGTCATTAACATTCTGACATATTGTCATTTGTGTCTAACACTCCAATCCATCACATGCTTAACAACCTCACATCTCTGAAACACACACATATACACACCCTGTTGTAATTTGGCTCATTTTTTAATGGAATAGTTCACCCCTAAATAAAACTCACATTTTCTTTATCATGGGAGGAAAACTACTATTTTCCAGAGTAAAGGTGAGGCGGGCAGTCAAGCACCAAAATCTACAAAATAACAGCAACAATAAACTACCATAAATATCTATTTCCTCATGTTTGTATTAAAAGTTGCCATCTGATTGCTTTGTGAGCAACAGACAAACTGAAACTATTTTCTAGAAATATTCCCCTCAGCTATCAAATCTCATTTGTGTTTGCATACATTCAAGTATGCAGTGTCAAGATGTCACAACAGGTTTCTCAAAAACAAATGTGTGGCTTCTTAATACTTGAAATAGTGCATACAAACTTCTTTTACTGGACTTTCTTGTCATATTTGGAGCTTGAAAGCCCCAAACTCATTCACTTTCAAATTCCTTTTTTTATTGTGTCACAAAAGGCAGTATGTGAAAATGGCATGAAGGTTTAGTTTAGTTTAGTTTCTTATATAGCATATCTACTGCCTTCGGAGCAGCCCAAAGTGCTGTACAATGGATTCAAGAAAACCAAACAAAGACAATAACAAACACAACATCTCAAAAAGGAAAACATTCATTACATCTCTCCTAAATCAGACTCAAACGCCATAATTTAAAAGTGCTTCTTCAAAGCCGTTTTAAAGGCAAAAACAGAGGGGGCATGGTCGAATGTCTAGAGGTAGATTATTCCATAGCCGAGGACCGGCAATCGAAAAGGCCCGATCACCTTTTCGCTTCAGTCGGGACCGCAGTACCTGGAGCAATAGTTTATCAGCAGATTTCAAGTTCTTAACAGGTTTATGTAAAGTAACCATGTCTGACAGATACGAAGGCGCGAGACCATTTAAAATTTTAAATATTATTACTAGGGCCTTAAAATCAATCCAATATCTAACAGGTAACCATTGCAAGAGTTAAAATTTGAGTTTTTCTATCCCTATTTCTCCTACCAGTCAATAGCCTGGCAGCAGCATTTTGAACAAGCTGTAATCGATTTACCAATGACTGAGAAATTCCTAAATATACAACATTACAATAATGCAATCTAGATTATATAAAAGCATGGATGATTTTCTCCAAATTTCTACATGAGAGCATTGGTTTAATCGTAGCTATTAACCTTAAGTAGTAGAAACTAGTTTTCACCACAGTATTAACTTGTTTTACAAAACTCAGCTCTGAATCAAAAAATACACCCAGATTTTTTTGCGTATGGATGAACATTTCTAGAAAGAGGCCCCAAATTACTAGAAATAATGGGTGAAGAGCCAAGAGGACCAAAAACAACCACATCTGTTTTGCTCACATTTAAATGGAGAAAATTCTTAGCCATCCAGGATTTTACATCCTCGAGACACTTGACAATTGTAGCACAGGACTTATCAACTGGGTGTAATGGGACATGCAATTGAGTATCGTCAGTGTAGCAGTGGTATGCAATCTCATATTTCCTAAAAATACTCCCCAAAGGTAACATATATAGGGAAAACAGCATTGGACTTAATATGGGCCCTTGTGGGAGCCCTGAAGGAACTGAAGGAGAAGAATAATTACCCATTGTAACAGATACAGATGTGAAGGTGAGTATAAATTGACAGAATATTAATTTTGCAGTGAACTATTCCTTCACTCTAAACTATTTACCAAAAAAAGGGGTAAGAGGCTAACAACATTAGCATTCTGCTAATACCAGAAAACCTGCTCTCATTAACCGCCACTAAATACCAAAACGGCATCCAAAATTGCATACTCTCTAAGTAGACTTTTGAATTTAAGTACTTACATTGCGACTTTTAAAAAGTGCATTCTACTTGGTTGCAGTATGAATGTAATCCGGACATACTATTCACCATGCTGTCATTTTATCATGTTGCATCTCTTCACTGCCATTCACAACTTTTCTCATGGTCTTATGAGTCCATTGGACGCACACTTTAAAATCTCGGCCAACTTAGTAGGTAATTCAGACACTTTTTGCATACTGTTTTATGGATAAACTTGGACTACTCTTTTCACATACTGTTTTTCTACTTTATATTAGGGAAGTACTGTATGCATAATCAGAGGCAGCCTGAGCTCTGAGTCTCCTTTTGTTTTCTAGTGTAAAATAAACATCAGGGAATTTTTAGATGGTGAAAAAGGATTTACATTATTGTGGTGGTGAAAAGCCACAGCTCAGCTCTGAACCACCATTCAGCCAAAATAGTGTGAAGAAAAAAATAGTCTTGGTCTGAAATAAAAAGAGAGTGGGAAACAGAGAAAGAGAGAGCGGGGCAACTCTCTACGGGCCAGTCCTGCTGCACATTAAAACTCAGTGAACAGGAAACGTTCCTAATTAAATGCTCAACCTGGCCAACGGGAAGAAGGACGCTTTAGACGCTGTACAGGTTCCCTGTCAAACTCGCTCACCTACTACTCAGCAAGAGAGAGAAATAAAAAGTGTGTGTCAACAGAGAATAAAGCCTGTTATGAAAGGGCAAAATATCATAAGACAAAAACGTTCCATACTCCCAGGATTACTGCACATGTGGGTGTACGTCAAGTGCATGACTGTCTGTGTGTTAGTGTGTGTATGGTGAATTGTATATTCTGTATTAATGACAGGCTGTCATTTCAGAGGGGATAATAAGACCCCCGGAGGGTGAGGGGTGGGCATACGTACACACTCAAAAACACACACACACTCTCTCTCTCACACAGTCAAGAGAGAGAAATAAAAAGTGTGTGTCAACAGAGAATAAAGCCTGTTATGAAAGGGCAAAATATCATAAGACAAAAACGTTCCATACTCCCAGGATTACTGCACATGTGGGTGTACGTCAAGTGCATGACTGTCTGTGTGTGTTAGTGTGTGTATGGTGAATTGTATATTTTGTATTAATGACAGGCTGTCATTTCAGAGGGGATAATAAGACCCCCGGAGGGTGAGGGGTGGGCATACGTACACACTCAAAAACACACACACACTCTCTCTCTCACACAGCGCAATCCTGACCCTCTCCTCTCACATTACACACACTGTCTCCCTGTTCCAACATGACATCACTCCTCCCTTTCTATTCCTCGCTGTCTTTTCTCTTTTTCTCTCTCGATTTCAGCAAGATCCACCACTATCATTCTCTCTCTGAGTTAACAGACACCAAACCCAACATCACTGACCTTCCTAGAGAGCCTCAAGTCTTAGAGAGATTAAGATGTCACTCTATACTCTCCTTGCATATAGGGTTATTGCATCACAGGGTAATCTACAGTCTCATGGTGACTTACTCAAGTATTTACAAACAATACATAATGCATTCTAATAGAGAATATAGAGGCCCTACTCATGAAACACAAGCAGAATTTCTGCAGAAATCATTGTGAAATGACTGTTATGTAAATTACCACATACAGTTCAATGCAACCATTTATGCAAGAATGGTTTTGAGAATGATTTACTCAGAAATTCACGTTTAATGAATGGCCCTTAAAGAGAATTCTAGAAGATTATACATTGATAATAAAATCTAAAATAAAAATTCTTGAAGAACTGAAGAAGAAGAAGATTTGACTGAGTTCTAGAAGTTTCTACCTTTTAGGTAGTAACATATTCACTGCATTCTAGAACAGAATCAAAAGGAAAATAGA